GAAGTGCTAGAGATTGATAATTTCAATTTTTTCTATTTGATGCCTGTTAAGGGTAAAGTGGTAACAGTTACAAAGTATTTTTTTCATATTTTATGAAGAATTTTGAGAGAGTAGTTTGAAATTGTTTCTTTTTTCTAAAGGATATTAATAGAGAATTGAATTTATCTGTAGCCAACTTAAGGATCATTTTGCTTATCAAATTTGTTGTAAGAATTTCTTTCACACTATTAGATGTTGTTTTGTTTTTTGATATATTTTCCAATAGTAATTTATCAAGTTTTTTATTTTTTAATATTAGAGTACTTCTACTTTATGAGCAGATAAACAAAATGTAATATGCTTTAGTGATCTTAGTTGATAAAAAAATTTCTAATCGATTAGTTGTTAACTATAGTTACAATTAATCAATTAATATATCACATGACATAAAATTACATAACTAATCAACTAGTTGATTAGTTAATTAGTTAATTAGTTGATAAGCTGATAAGTTGATAATTAAATTAAATTTAAATTTATAATTATTAATATTATTTTATTATTTTTAAATACAATATATAATTACAAATCATTATTTTATTTAAATAATATTTATTACATATTATTAATTAAATATTTAATTAAAATTTATTATTTGATTTAAATTAATATTTAATTTGTATTTATTTTAAATTAAAAATTTTAAATCAATATCAAAATAAATAAATATAATAAATAAAAAAATATATAAGTTTCTACTTTAAAGTTTTTTTTCAATATTTATTACACAAGTTTAAATTAATTTTATATAGTTTTTCTTTTTTATATTGTGATTCAATAATGGCATTCTATTTAAACTTTGTGACAGGAGTACTCAAATAGCATGCCACAATCTTTTTCTTGATCTTCTACCAGTATAAAATCATTGGTTGTTAATATATTACAAGTTGCCAAGTATAATAATTGCATCCTTCAATGTGTATAAGTATTCTACAGTTGTAAATATCATTCTTTTGTTGCACAGTCTCCTTGTGCCTTTTATGGTTTTAGGATTGATTATGATATTATTGTTTGTGTTATTAATGTATCATATTCTTTTGACACACTCAGATCTCTGGATGGTACTCTTGATTGCATTTGTATATCTGACCAGGAATCTTTTTACTGAATTATTTATCTAAACTATCTGCCTAATCATTATTACAGTATGGAGTGCCAATCTTATAAAGATATTAGAATATATTTTCTTCAGTTTCCCTTTGAACTCAAGGAAAAATATATTATCAATTGCTGCCATGCTATAGAGATGTTGTGTAACCTGAACATCTCATCGCCCAGTACATGCTTTTACCAGGTAATCACAAACATTATTTTTCTTTTAGCATTTTTTTTTGTTTCCATGTACATTCTGATTGATCGAGGCATCATCATTGATATCGACAATGTATCATATCACCTTAAAGCACCTTATTTCTTGAATTATTCTTCCAAAAGCTTCTTCTACTTTGATCCAATCCTTCTTGCATGGTTCTAATGTTACTTCTATTAATGTTGCATTTGTCCCTTTACTAATACTTTTGTTTGTCCAGATCATTCTTCAGATCTTTTATCCTTTCCAATTTCTCTGACTTCTTCTTTCTCAGTCTCCTATGGTATTAGCTATTCTTTACATTAATCCAACTGTTTTGTAAGGTCTTGTTCCTCTGATTTATCCTTAATCCTCTCCTCAGTTTTAATAATCTTGTTTGAATCCTTTTAGATTACTGTCAACATTTTTTTCTATCAGAAGGAATATACTATAGGACCTGGATTTTTCGGTTATATATCATTATTGAAGTTGGGATTACTACTTGTCTTTCCTATCACTTCCCGTTTATCTTCCTTTAAGAATATCAATTATTCTTCTTTGTCTTTACTAGTCTTTTCTTTCTTCCACTGGTCCAAAAAATTCTCTTGTCAGTATACAATTTTTTAATTTTATCATCCAAGATCGAAATCTTCTTTTTGTAGATATTAACAACATTCTTTTCTTCTCTAGGTTAAGATATATCATTATAGTTGTCTTCAGGATCTTGGGTTTAAACTTTGCCCTAATCTCTAGGTGGCCCTTCCTTACTAATCTTGGCTCCAATATGATCCTTTCAATCTTTATTTTTGCTATGGTTATGGTAAAGGTAGCAGATAAGTAATATTTCATCACTTTACATATTTTGTTTTTTAAATTAATGTAATTTTCTAATACCTTTTCTTTTCTTGATTCTTTTATCACTGTATTAAGTACTTCCACTAAGATGGTCGCATTACTAACAGCAAGTAATAATACTGTCTTCTCTTAATCTAATCACAAGTATCTATCTTGTCCATTCCTTGAAATAATCATTTTTGGAGAAGATTCTTTCCAAATCTTCGAATATACTTAATTACCTTTTTGTTTCTTTTTTGTTCAAAGTTTTTCAGTTCTTTTTGTTATTTATACTATGGCTCCACTTTATCTCTGAGTTTTTGTATTCTGGCTTTCTAAATTCTCTTCTCTTTTTCTTTCTTCAACTTTTCTTAATTGATAGATGCTTTACTGTTTTTCTTAGGGCATCTCTATTCTAATATAAGTACTGTTTCAATTAATACTATATCCCATACTTAAGATAGTATTCTTACATTAGTATTTTCTCTCAAATTTTCGATTTTTAATATCTTCACTTGTAAATAAAATTCAAATATAAAAATGTTAGTTAGTTTAAATAAATTTGTCATTTAGACTAAAATATAATTATATGTTTATTAAATATAATAGTAATTAATATATAAAATAAAAATAAAAAAGATTTAAAGACCTATAGATTTATAGCTCAGTGGTTAGAGCACCATAGGTCTGTATTATACATGTGATAGAAATTGGTAGATCCTTGATACAATTTGACGTAATTATTTGATGCAATTAATTGAGTCACTATTAAAATATATAAAATAATTGAGTTAGATACAATTATTTTTGAGGATTTTGGCAATTGAGTCAATAGCAAAATAATTTACATCACATGTATAGTCTGTATCACAAGCTATAGATTCAATTCCACTAGGGGACTAATATGATTCCCCAAAAAACCACGTGAGAATCTGTAGGCCATCGGCCTAACCATATAATAACCAATGCTTCTAATTATAGAAAAACTGGTTTATAAGAAGATTGTGATATGATCGAATATTCAAAATTGACTAGAATTATCCTTGACACGATCATGTTGCCATAAAAGGTAATAAGAAGAGTATATCCCAAACCAGTAGAATGTTTCTGAAAGATTCCTAACGGTTGCATTGAAAGATACTAATCAAGCATTTGGCTGTGCCAGATTTCACAGACTTTATTATCAGGAGGCCTTGATGGGAGGTAAAAACTGTGGACCACTCTGAAGGATCAAAAACCAGGGTTCAGAATATTGTAATCGATGGCCTAATAATCAGAATACTCTTAATAAAATTGTTTTAGGAAAATTAAGATGGATTCGCGTATCTTTCTGAAAACAGAATGGCATGGTTAAAGATGAGTTCCTAAGTATTTAGCATATAAAATTTACATCCCTTTATATTCACATCTTCTAGAGAATATAATTTCTAGTTCTTTATTTCAATAGGAACATAATTCCAGAAATGATTTATATAGATACTTAAAACTATAAAGAATCTTTGTAAGTAGTTTTTTTTTATTTCTTAATATAAAAAGGAAAATTTTTAATAATAAGGAACATTTGAATTATATTCTCACAAATAATTTAGGGACCCATCTTTAGATGTGGTAAACCATTCAGGTTTAGGTAGTAGTTATACATAGCATTAAGTTAGATAATATATAGTTAGTCATATATAAATAAGTTAACTATAAATATATACTGATGTATAACACTTGTTGGGTATATATAACAATGTCTTAAAAAGTTCAGTAGGGGATTAGCTAGCAAAAGTAATCTAGACATAGTATTTAGTTGTTGATACTATTGTAATATCTCATATACTGAAAGCATATATTTCAATAAAAAATGTGGCCTCATCAGAACAAAATACATTCACAACTAAAGAAGTTTGAATTACAATCTTACAACAACTGATAACAACTCTACACTAAATAATATCACATGGGAAGAGTTACTCATCAATAAAGCATCATCAAAACTCACAACAGAACCAACCAACTGAGAAGACCACACCATCAGATTTTTGAGACTCAGACTTTGGAATCTAGAACTATCCATCAAGGACAAACTATATAAAAGAGTGGCAAACACTTATATGGATAACCAATGCATCAATTGTTAACAAATAGAAACCAATATATACTGTATAACATATGAGGAGAATAGAGCAAACATCTATAAAAAACTATAACAAATAATTAATGAAGAAGTTAGCAGTAGAAACAATAAACCCACAAAGCATAACCTAAACAAAGAACTTAACAAACAAGCAAGATTCTGAACACATGAAGTCAAAAACTATATAGCAAGAAGAGCTCTTACAATAGACATGATTAAAATTATTAAAAAATATATACTAGCAGAAAACCAAAAAGAAATCATCAAAAATATCGACAACAGATTTCTCAATATAATTCAAGAAAAATGGAACCACAGGTGCAACAACTTTACACAATGAAAAAAGGAACACAACATTACTTCCAAAGATAAAAAACAATGGAAATTCATGAACATGAAAAATAACACATACAAATTCTTTATCCCAGGAATCAACAAAATTATGAAACATGCCAGTAGTCATTGGATCAGCTGAAACACAATCTATTCATTTAAAACAAAATTTTCATGGGACAGGTAAAGCCTTGGCAAATTAGTCAAGTATATGCCAGTACTTGACAATAAGTCACACAATAGGATAATTCCTTAGTAAGTTTAATTAGATAGACAGAGTGATAAATTTATATAAAATAAATTTGTATATACTCATATCAAAAATATCTAATAAACAAGGTGTAAGCCATTCATTAATAAAAAAAATAAAAATAAAAAAGATTTTTAACTAAGTGGAGGAAAAATATCAATATAATTCATATTTTTTTAAAAAAAAAGTAATTTATTTAATAAACTTGAATCTAACCTATTATACTTTGATGTTATGTGATTCAGTATCAAAAATAAACATTTTAAAGATACAGAAAAGGCTGGTATTGCAAGATATTGTCTTGCTAAAATTGTCAAAGTAGAAAAAAAAGTTTTGTATTGACATTACCAGTCCAAAGGACAAGATTCTTCAAGTGAAATCTCAAGTAATTCACAATATCATTCAAATTCATCAGGTTCATTACTGGAATTTTTTATTTATGAATATAAAAAAAATATTGATTTTTTGGATTTTTTGTGTTGATATGAAGAAGATATCAAAATTGTATTATTAATAATTTATGTAGGATTAAGTTTATTAAATAGATAATCCATATTTTGAATTGTTGTACAACATAAAGTATTTGTACAAAAATTCAATTTTTTGAATTATAGATCAAGAAAAGAACAATACATGCCTACTTTACTTGGATCATCCCATCATTTAATTAAATTATCTAAAATAGTATTTTTAATATGAATTGCTTTTTCTTTTTGTCTAATAAAAAATTTAAGTTGATATACAAGTTCTTTTAAAATCAGTATCATAAAACCAAGTATTGAGAATATTTGGAGCCACTTAAAAAATGTGTTACTTTATCGAAAGGAGAAAAAATTTTGATGAATTTTTTTAATAATTCAAATTCTTCCAATATAAGTATTGCAGAATTAAAAGCTTTAGCTTCTTTTTTAATCTCTTGAATAGTATGATTATTAAGAGTTGAATAAAGTTGTATAATTGCTAATCTTAAATGTATCAATTGTTCGATTGCATAAAAAGTAGAATTCCACTATATATTTACATCTTTAATAATATCTAATAGTTCTTTAAGTCCTGGTATAACTTGTAGTTAAGCTTCATAAAGTTGTATTTTTTTTTTTTCTCTTGATAATATAGAAATAAGTATTTTATATTTTGAAAGAAGTTCTTGAATATTTTTTAAACCTAAATTTATACTTAATTGAAGAATATGACCAGCACATATTATATTTGTAATACCTATTTGTTGTATAGCCACTTTAATATTTGTACCATTATCTATTGTAATTGAGAAAACTTTCTTATTATCAATAATAAATTTTTTTAATATTAAATTAATAGATTTAATAATATTAAATATATAATATTTATTAAGTTCTTCAATATTAAGTATAGTTTCACATAACTCAAAAGTATCTGTAAGCCAATAGCAAGTAATTTCAAGATAATTATCATGTGCTTATAATATCCAAATATTCAAAGTTAATGAAATAGTATCTAATATTTTTGAAATAAGATCTATAAGTTATTTAGTTATTCAAGTATAAGAGTTAAAAATTGTTGTTTTTATTATACTAACACTAGATATTTCAAATTGAAAATTTAAACTTTTTATAAAAAGTTTAAATTCATTATTTTTAACAATAAAAATAGATTGTATACAAGAAATTATATAATATACAAGTTGATTGATAAGTTTTTTTTAAATATAAGAAGAATAAGATTTTGTAATAACTTGTTAAATCATTTGTTATTTAACTTTTATTAAGTTATTTAAAAGGAAATCTTGAGTAATTTAATATTTATTATGAAGATAATTAATTAAATTACTAGTTGAACCTTTCCATAAATATTCTATATTATATTCTTCAAATAAACATTGAACTTTTTTATTTTATTCATTTTAATTATCTAAAGATATTGTTGAAACTGTATATATTTTGAAAAATTGCTAAACAAACTTTTTTTTTTTTTTTTTTTGATGAAAAAGACAATTAATATTTAATGATTTTTATTGAACTTAATTCAAGCCATATATATAAATAGTCTTATACATATTAATATTACTATTAACTGTAAGTTTAACTACTACCTAATTCACCTATAATCCAATTATACTAACTTATACTATGAATATATTGCCTATATGCCAGATGGGATTATACAGGAGATAGAAATCCTGCCACTAGTTTAAACTACCTAACCTGCTAGTTTATTTTTGTTAAAGGATATATAAAGTAATCTTTTTATATAGACCAATCCAGAAACACTTCAATTATCTCTTTTTGCCTAGGCTAGGATATGGTCTTGTTATAGGAACACATGTTAATATTTTGATAGATTATCTTTTTACTTCATATTTTCAGCTCATGCAGCTATAAATAAAAATCCCACACATGTATATACCTCCTAGTAAATACTCTGAAACTGTAATCCTTGGTTGATACAAACTATAAAATCTAGGAATATAAATGTCAAGTGAGGCATGACATCATTTTTCTTCTAGTAAACACTCCAAGGAAATTCGATTGACTTAAACTGCCAAATCTAGGAGTATAAATGTTAAGCAGGACGCAACTTCTATATATAAATAGTATGGATCTATCACTTATATTATACATTAGTGTTTATATTAACGATCTCTTTAAGATTCCCTACTTGTATTAACATGTTGTGCTACAGAGTCTGCCATGCCAGGAGGGATGTGAGCTTATTACTAAAGTTAGACCAGAAACCTTTTCTTATATAACCTTTCCTGCTTCAATCTGTTTTAAGCCTGTAATTGTCAAAAAGACCAGAGGTTCCATCTTTATGCAGCCTAACTAAATTTGAACAAGATCCAGATGTTTGGGTATGACATTTGTGGAAAAACTGATAAATCCATAAATGAAGGATAAATTTTTTTGTGCATTTGTCTCCTGTGGGTATTGAACTAGAAACATACGTTTGGAAATCTAGAAGCATTATCTACTGTGTTATGGCCTACAAGTCTAACTTTTTTTTTTGAAATTTGTTTTTTGATAAAATAATTAGAACTTTGAATAGAAATAGATGATGACTTATCATTACTATTGTTTTTTTCTTCATCTTTATTAAATAAAGAAATAAAGTTACTAAAGTTATTATTATTCATTAAAAAAAAATAAAAAACATACATATGTAAAATATTATTGATTTATTTATATATTATATGAATTTAATTTTAATTGGTTAATTTAATTACATAATTATTAACTAATTGATGATTAACAATTAGTTGTAATTGAATTAGTTGATAATTAATCGATTAGTTGATTTGATAATTTTTTTAATTGATTAGTTAATTAGTTGTCAATTAGTTGATTTTTCAACTAACAATTTGGATCACTACTCTGATAACTTTATTGCTCAAACTTATATAATGATATTAAAATTGTTCAACTCTAATCATTTCTTAAATTACAATTCTAGCTTTACTTTCCTAATAATTTCACCAGTTCTCCAATACAGATATTCTTCATTACTACTTTCACAAATTCCATTCTATTAGCTACATATTTACACAAACTTTCTCATTCATTCTTCAAAAACCTCATTATAGTCTTAATACTTAACATATCTAATCTTAATAAAAGAGCAAAACTAATTGCCCTGATCAACAATATTACTAATGACAGAGTTATTTGATACTATACTAAAACAAAAAACTCTTAAAGTAAACCTCTTTCCATCAAAATCAACAACAAAACTATTATTTTTAGTAACCTAATATCTCTGCTAGCAATAGTGCAAGCATAATTATCACTAAAGCAATCACCAATCATATATTTAAAACCCATACACAAAATAAATTTTGATATATCATTCATTTGAAGTTCAAGCCTAAAGTGAATATCATTATAATTTTTTATTACCTTCCCCATAATTTCTCATCAAGAAAAAAGCAATAAATCAATTAGAAATTTCATCAAGCAACATAATAATTAATACAAAATTATTGCAGAAGATTTCAATTTCTTTTTCAACTTTGCCTTATTAATCAATATCCTTATATTATTTTTCAAAAAGCAAATATATAATTATCTTTATAACTTTACAGATATAGCAAAAATTGTCAACAAGGAACATGAATATATATATTTTACCTCTACCAGTATATCAAAAATTGATCAAGTTTGGATTTCTAACAATTTAGCAAGTAAAATCATAAGCTATAAAATCATTAATCAAATGGTTATTCAAACAAATCATAAACAAATTACAGTCATTTTAGACTGGTTTGAATACAAACCAGATAGAATTTCTTTCTTCACAAAAACCTTCCAGTTTCACAAAGCTTCAAAAAAACAAATTTCATTATTGAAAGAGGAAATAGAACTAATTATCACTGTAATATCTAATATTTTTTAAAAGGATTTAAACATTCTTATAAAAAATGCCATAAACAATAATATTCCAAAAAGAAATCAATTAAATCTCTTAAAGCCTAACAAGTTCTTAAAAAAAGTATATCCTAGTTATAAAATCAATAAAAAGATTGATATATAACATTTGAAATAACAAAAATCTTTCAAAACTTTTACCATTTGCTACGGAAGTTGCTTTTAAAATCTTAACCAATTTCAAGTCTATAAAAATCCTAAGAAAAGCCCAAAAAATTATTCTTTAGAAAAAAATTGCAAAGAAAAAGAAATTATTAATAACAAAATTTAAATCAGTATGGAAAAAAACTATCTTAGATTCTAAACAAAACCCAAGGCAGCCCTTAAAAAAACTTTGAGAGACCTTAAATCCTCTCTTGATCTTTCCATATTATCTGATAGTAAACAATTAATTGACAATCCTAACAAATTTAATAAAATCATTATCAATTATTTTAAAACATTCTTATGATAAAATCTTTTGATTTAATAATAAGTAAACAAATGATTATCAATCTTTGTGTTAAATTTCATCTGATACTTTTAACAATTCAATTATATCCATATCCTGCAAGGAAATTAGCAAAGCCCTAAAAAACCTTTTCAAAAATAAAGCCTTTGGCTTGTCACTAATATCTTATGAAGTGTGATGCAATCTCAAGAAAAATATTTTACAATGTATTAATAAACTATTCAACAACATATTAAATACATTTATTCCATTACATCACTGGAAACAATTGATTATTACTCTTTTATTAAAAAAAATTACCTGGTTACATGATCTTGCAGACATCTATCCTATTTCTCTCATAGAATCCAACAGAAAAATTTTTATAAAAATTCTCAACAAAAGACTTGCTTATACTATAAAAACTCACAATATTTTATCAAAATTCAACTTTGCTGATCTAAAAAACCAAAGTACCATGGAATCAATCTCCATTATCCTTTCTGAAATTGAATCAGCAAAGAACCTTAACAAAAAACTCTGGATTGTTTCTTTTAACATCTTTAAGACCTTTGACTCGATCAATTTAAA